TTAACTTGTGACACAAGTCAGGAAACAAGAGGTTAAATGAGTATATAAAGAGGGACTGGAATGAAAACAAAAAATCTGAGGGCTGCCCATTAGTTTGCCTATATAAGGAAGTCACCTCTTCCTTGGAAAAGAGGTTTTCAGCCATAAAATTCCCCCCCCCCCCCCCAAAAAAAAAAGTCCTCTTGTAAGATCTGGTCCTGCATTTCAAATTTCAAATCACAAAAGTTCAAAACTCTGCTTACAGATCTTAGTTCTATACAGAAAAACCAAAAAAAAAGTAAGAAAACTGTCCAAAAATCAAGAGTATAGCTACCGTTTCATTCATTTGAAAATGGATTCCAGCTATTAGCTACCGGTTCCCAGTTTGAGTTCAGTTCTACTGATTTGAAGGTTCAAGGGTTTTGTTGTTTGTTCGATTAGTTTTTGAGGTTTGACTAGTTGCTGTGGGTCATTTGCTGTTGCTGTTTGTTTCTGTTGAAATTTCCTGGTTGCTCTGGGTTCGGATTATTCCTGTATTGGCTGGTTGTTGCTGTTGTAATTGCTGTTGTTGCGTTTGGAGTAGTTCTTCAGTGAAGCTATTGCTGATCTTCCTCTTTTTCTGTTATAAAATCAGTTCCAGGTATTTCTTCTGATCTCCCAATGAACTATGAAGGCCTGATGTAATTTTGGTTGAAGGAATACATGAGGAAATGTTGCTTGAATTACTGTGTGAAGTCGAATCATGGATCTGTTCTGCTTCTAGCTGTTTAATATACAAAGTAGTTTATTTACTTGAGGTGTTATATCATTTGTATAACTGGACTGTCAATCAGTAGTGGACTGACTGAATTATTAGAATAGCAAATTTTCCTTTGCCATATCAGTATAGTTTCATTCTGTGCAGAGTAATTTGGAAATCAGAGGTTAATTAGAATAGGAGGCTACTTTGTTTGGAACTTGTGACTGTCATTCATAGTTGATACCTGAAAATTCAATTATTACGACTAGTTAATAATTGTAATTTGGCTTAGTTTGTGTCACTAATGAAGTATAGTGTAGTGGAGTTCAATTCGGTTTCAATAATTAAAAAAAACAGTTCAAATGGCTTTAACGAGGCAGTATGTTAATCTCAGTTTGTTAGTGTAAATCTATGCATTTTGAACCCAATAGTTAGTAAGTACTAGTTCAATTTTGGGGCTGTTAATTTACTCTCGTAACATAACCAAATCGTGTGGCCTACATTTATAATTATTGTGTTAATTTCAACTTATGCTCCCAGTGTGCTTCTCCTCTCAAAACATCTATGAACTTCTCAGTATATAACTAGGCAACGAGTTTCACTGGTGCTTTTGGTTTAGTTGAGTCGAGATTTTGGCTCAATTCAATGCCCAGGCTGGACAGCCTCGCGCCTCAGCCTGGGCCAACGGTTCAAGGACCAAGACTGCCATAAATCAAAAACCCTTCAAAATTACATAGGAATATGGGGAATTAATTCACAAATGTAAATTTGGGTTTCAAATTAGGTGGCGGGTTCAAATTAAGAGGGTCGGGTTCAAATTAAGAGGGTCTTCCCTTTTGTTTGAATTCGGACTTGAATTTGAGGCCCGAATTTATAAATGTAAATTAATTAGGCCCTATTAGAGACAAATATAAAGTAGAAAATCATAGTTGCTTTAGGACTTGCCCTTTTAAATAAAAACGAGATGAGCCTCGCCAAATAAAAATGCATAAATTGTGGGGCCCTCATTAAATGCTTTCTTAAAAATATTTTAGAAATTCGGGACATTCCATTTTAGCAAATTTTCATGGCTTCCCGCAAAGTTAACAAGACGCTAGACACTTTAGGCGCGCTTTTTAATAATTTTACCTTCTTAATTATGGGTGTGCATTTCATGCAACCCAAATCCAAATCCCAAAACGTTGAATAAGAGGTGTCAAGGATCCGGGTGCATTTCATGCGACGTGATCCAAAAACACGCTATTAAATGACGTTCACTTTCATAAAAATTAATTAAAAGCGGTTAAACAATTCTAAAATTGCACTATAGGTTAACATGTATTAAAATCAGACTTTAGCCAAATATAGCAGTTGAGCAACCGTGCTAGAACCACGGAACTCGGGAGTGCCTAACCCCTTCTCCCGGGTTAACAGAATTCCTTACCCGGATTTCTGGTTCACGACTGTTAAACAGAGTCAAACCCTTTCCTCGATGCGGGATTCAAACCGGTGACTTGGGACACCATAAATCTCCCAAGTGGCGACTCTGAATCTCTTAATAGACGAATCCCGTTTCGATTGTCCTTTAATTGGAAAAACTCCCTTTTATTATACCCTTTTGGGGGTGTAGTAAGGTAAAAAAGGAGGTGTGACAGTGGTTATGTCGAGCAAGAGGGAAATTCCTAAGGCACATGGTTAAAGCAGACCAGGTCTACAAGAATAGTACAAGACCGTACCGTGACATTAAATGGTTGTACCAGTCGTTGATCTTTGTAATAAATGGTTGTACCGACCGCATATCTGTGTAATAAATGCACCTGTACTATATTGGGATTCTCCCTCCTATATAAAGGGGACCCTTGTCATTTCTTGCGCACATGATATTGAATACAAGAACAAGAACATTCTCTGCTCTCTAACTTAAACATATCCTCCCTTGATTTTATTGCTTATATATATTTCATTGCTTACATTTATTGTGTTTCACCGATTGTTCATCGTTCATTACTCATCATTGATCATAAAGAGCCCTCATCAAAGATCTGAGAACTGTTAGTCCATCATCAGCCATCTTCAGTCGAGCTCATTAGCTTAACCTCGAGGCCCGGCATAGGATAGCTCGAGACCCCAATTCTCGGCCACTCGGTTCGCACAGCATACTATCTCCAAGCCTTCATCTTATTTTCTAGTCTCACACTAGTGCTGGCAAAATGAGCCCATATTTTGTCAACCCGCCCAATCCACCCATATTTTAGTGGGTTGGATGAGTGATATTTAAGTTAGGTAAAATTCGGGCTTCAACCCATATTCAACTCGTAGAAATATGGGTATTATGGGTAAAATGTGGGTAAAATATGATTTAGCCTAATGGGTTATCTTCCAACTTTTGCTCACTCAAAATACATTATATCATTTTTGAAACTGAATAAAGGTATTCAACTCCTCTTCCTTCTATGTTTCTTCTCACTATAGTTGACTGTGAGTATTTTTGTTTTTCTTCTAAACATAGTAAGTACAATTTACTTTTGTTTAGCATTTTTTTTTTAGAAAATATCTTTAAACTGAATATACTAATTTGCTCTATACATCACAAGAATTTAGAAACATTAATGGATTCTTTAGCTTATACAGATGCGATTTGAATGCAAGCTAGTTTTTTCTTTTTCTTTTTTTATTTTTCTTTTTATTTAGAGGGATCAAGGTAGATTTTGATCATAATACATATTCTTAGTAGTGAAAGATGCAATGACAAAGTAAAGTTCCTGAGACCTGAGTCAGTGTGGTGATTGGTATGATTTGATTTGTGCTTAATATTAGACTTTTTAGTGTTATTTCTGGTGTACTGATGCAAAAGAAAAATCACAGAAACAGGGGGAAAGTGATAAAGAAAAAGTCGATCTAATGCATTCCGGTGAATCATGATAAAGAGATAAAATGTTTTATAAGTATCCTCTTACAAAAATGTGATCTTTAACACTATCCAACAAAATATTTTAACATGAAATTCGTGTTGATTCTCCGATTATTATCTGATAGTTCAAAGATGTAGTTATTCCTTCATTTTTGGGCTAAACTTTTAAGTTTGGGACACAGATAAGTGTGTACATGCATCTTGCCATCTTTGTCACATTTTCTTCCTAAAATAAAAACTGTCATATTTTGTTGAAAAGTAACTTAAGTTTACAAGATGATAGTCAAATTTGAATAAATTTAATGATTAAAAGTATATATTATTCTAGTTAAACTTATGTCACTGAATAATCTGAGCAAAAGAAAATTTATAAATTGTACTTGAAAAAATATTACACTTATATAATATGGGCTAACCCATATTCAACCCGTCCATTTGACACCCAACCCGGTTTTGACTCGCATAAAAAACGGGCGGGTTGAGACCCAACCCATTTTAACCGCCCAAATCCGACCCAGCCCGCCCATTTGCCACCACTATCTCACACTTAGCATCTACTGCCTAACAACTAGCATAAAAATGAATCACGTATTTTTAGAACCACAAATCAAATCTAATTGTAATTATCATTTTCAAGGTAAACATAAACAAACAAAAAAATCTGCCAAAGGCTATATATAAAAAAAGAAAATATACAAATATCCATTATGCCCTCAAAAGCCGTGTGAAGTTACCATTATACCCCATTTTGGACATTTGGGCCACTTTTAGTGTGGCCAAATAGTTAAACTAGGAGGGTCGTTCAGTGTACGCTTCATAAACTAGTTAAACATAATAATTTGCCAAGATTGTTTAATGATTATACAGTGAAAAATTATAGAAAAATTAATGTTACAGTTCATGAAAGTTACATACTTTAACGACTTTATTTGTCTTTAGTTATTCTTACTTTTTTGGTAATACTCAGTATTCTACTATTTTTGCACCATATTTAATCTCGCATAAATCATGCACAAATTCGTACATAACTTGTATTAAGGCCAACAAAAAATATTGTATTGAATAGCGACAATGCAAAATTTTACAGGGTTGGACAACCTCATCAAAGTCCAACTAGTCAAAGCAGTTTTTACCCATTCAACATTAGATGGTTCTGGAAACTCCAACCTTTTTGTATTTCACTTTTGTTTAATAAAGAGTTTATTAAGCAAACCAACCAATGCACTTCACTTGCTAAACTATTCTATTCGCCACACAAAAGAGGCAACAGCCATCACAAAGTGGGCCCCAGAACCAATGCTTTCTTTATTTGCTTAGCTGTCACTCACGTTCCTTCATAATATCCCCACACACACACCGACACTACTCACCAATGGCAACACAAGTGGAACATTATTAAAGTATCACAATTCACAACACTAAAAATAAGAAAAGGATTTAACATAAACAAAAGTACAGCAACTGAACAAAAAAAAGAAAAAACAAAAACATGTCCTCCTTCCTCAGCTCAACGACTCAATCACTATTAAAGGACATTTAAAAATTATAAATCAAATTAAATAAAATCTTCTCTGCAAGCAGTCACAAATAAAAATATGACTCCAGAAACCCAAAAAAACAAAAAAGTTAAACAAAACCCGTAAATGACGATCTAGGACAAATAAACGGACACAATTACCGAAACTGACACTGTAAGTAGAACCTTCAGCAATGCCGGAGCGTTAACGTTACCGACGTTTTTCTTCGCCGTACTGTTCTCGGAATCAGCGGCAGGACCATCCGCCGGAGCACCAGCTGGAGACGAGGTAGGCGGCGCCGGAGGAGACATCATTGGAGAAGGAGAGCTGGCCTCCGGAGCAGGGCCAGGGGAAGCTCCCTCAGGTGCGGGTGCCGGAGAAGTCTCCGGTGCAGGTCCAGGCGCCGGAGAAGGAGCTTTCCCGAACAACTCCTCTGGGAGAAGCACACTGTCGACGGTGAAAATACAGAACGGCGTAGAGTCAATCACAGTTGAAGCGATTCTTGACGAGTCAACGCCGGTGTCAAGCGTCACCTGGTCACCAGCTGTAGAAGCGCTCAAATCATACTTACTAGCACCATTAGTAGCTAGAGTAGAAATAGGATCCTTCTTCGTTTTCAAAGTCCCAATAGGAGTGTAACTCGGAACAGCATGATACTGTAATAGCGAAACCACCTCAGCACTTTTCAGTTTGTTCAGATCTGGAACTTTTTTGCCCTTGAACGCCTCATCATTTGGTGCAAAGACAGTTAAACCCGTTTCAATGGCAGTTTGATACGTCTTGAGAACCCCGGATTGGACAAGTAATGCAGCAAATGTTTTACACCCAGCTTTCTCCAATGCCGCCGTTATATTAAAGTCCGACGCAGACGGTGCCGGAGCAGTCAAAATACCCGGAGCAATAATTGGAGAACTAACCTCCAACACAGAGATATTATACTCGATTTGCTTAACGGATTTGGTGTACGTAGACGCTAACGGCGAGTGTGAAACAGCTGAGCCGAAACCCACTTTACCACCTTTAAGATCGGTGATGTTAACGGAACCCAAGTTGCCGTTAGCATTACCAGTTGTTTGGTAAAGGGTAGTGGTAAGTGTAGTGCCGTCAGATATCTTGTGGAGTTTAGTGCTGTCAAAGTAATCGAGCAAGATGTGAAGGGAAAGAACGTTTTTAATGACAGAAAGTGGGTGTTTGCCGACAACATCGGCCATGGCTCCATTGGTTAAAGCTAAGACAGTGATAGTTGTACGGCTGTTGATTTCGTCGGCGAGTTTTGTTTGTGTGAGGTAACTGTTGAACTCACTGTACTCTGGAAACTTGCTTAAGATTTCAGTAATGTTGTGTGCATGAATGGAAATAGTAATGGACATGAGAGTGAAGAGGAAAATGTGTAGTGCACCCATGGTGAAGGTTAGCAGAGAGAGAAAAGTAATGAACTCAAACTTCAAAGAGAGTGAGGGAAGTGATAGAAGTGTGGTATTAAAGGTGGAGGAGACGGTTGACTAGGGTTAAGGAGAGGGTAACTGTGGTTAAGTTAACCAGGGTTAGGGATGAGGAGAGGAATATATGGATAGCATGTGAGACAGAAGAGTGTGAGGGAATTCCGTTCAACTTTTTTTGGGTAACAGCTGGAGATATCTGATGTTGTCGGTATTATCATCTTTAAAATCTTTAAAGGTCCAAGTTACAAAAATGTCCTTGAACTCTTGGTTGTTTGGGTTGGGCTTTTTATAGGGACATCTAAATATAGCAGTAATTCACGTTAAATTATTGATTATTGTAACGGTTGGTTATGTCTTTAAGCTGGAGTTTTGATCAGACGAGTGGAGAGGGTTGGGGGGGGGGTAGGGGAGGTTGGGGGAGAGAATAGGTACCTTAGTAAGGTGTAATACTGTTATTAGAGATTATACTCCCCTGGTCCAGTTTAATTGATTTTGTTAATTTGAGATATAACAAACACTTCTAGACTCTGCACTTCAAGGGCAATTTTAAAAAAAAAATATATATCTGACAAAATTAAATATTATGGACCACAAAGAAAAACAAAAAAATCAACTAATGAGTTAAAATAATGATTTTAAGTTGGATGTGAGTTAAATCTGACATGTTATTTGTGTAACGATTCCTTTATTATTTAACCCAAAATGGACACAACATCTTGACACAACTTAGAGATAATTTTATCCCTGGCCATTGAACTTTTGTGTTTGTTACCCAAAAGTAATTTTTTTTTCTTTTGTTACACAAAAATCATTTTACTTTGCTCTAATTATCACAAAAGTCACATTTTTACTTGAAAAGTCTATTATGCCCTTGATATTATATAAACCTTCATATTTATGTAATACCTTCTATATTATACACTACATAATATATTTTAACTATGTATTTTATTTAGGCAAAATACATAGTTTACCCATCGACCTTGTACTCAAATCCCTCTTATACACCTGTTAAACACGGGAATAGTATTATACACCAAAATTTTATAAGTGTGTCAATTACACACCTCTTTTGCCATGTGTCACACGCGTGTATTATACATAAAAGAGGCGCGTGAAAACTACAAAATTCATCTGAAATTAATTTTTTTTTGTTTTTCCCTTTTTTATCTATTTTCTTTCCAAATTAAAGAAAAAAAATAACCCATGTCTTCTTTCCCAACCCAAACGTTCCCCCCCCCCCCCCCCGGTCTTCTTCCCCAACCTCCATCCTAGTTTTGTCTACTCCCCTCATTTTTCGTCTTTCCAACCAACCCCCATGAATAAGAAGAAAAAGAAAAAGAAGAAGAAAAGAGGAGCTATTGGGTCTTGTAAAAATCACCATTATTGACCTTTTGAAAAAGCTTGAAAATTTAATGTCTTGTTGATTTTGGTGTTCCATGACCTAGAAAATTAGTTTGAATTCGTAATTATTGTTGAATAAAAATTTACTTAGGTGATTAATTTTGATAAAATTTAAAAAACACCATTAACAAATTTGAAGCTTTGGGTTTGAGCTTGAATTTGAAATTTGCATAAGGATTTGTGATGGATATTGTTAAAACTTGTTAAAAATCGGGCAAATGGTTGAATCTATAGTTAGGGAAGAAGGTGCTTGTAGTGGAAGGGTTGGTGGTACTATGGTGGTGGTGGAGAAGATGATGGGGTTGGGGAGATGAGGAGGGGGTGGGTTTTTTTCTTTTCCGTATTTTTTCTTTGGGAAGATGAGGAGAGGTCAGATGTTGATTGGTGCGTGTAATAACAATCTTTAAGCAGATGTGGTCAAACACCGAAGTGGTGTGTAATTGACACACCTTTAAAAGTTTTGGTATGTAATATGATTCCCGTCTTTAACGGGTGTGTAAGAGGGATTTGGGGACAGGGTCGATGGGTAAAGTATGTATTTTACCTTTTATTTATAATAAAATAACTTAATATTATTTTTATAATATATTCGTATATTTAATTTTTTTTTTAACTTTAGTTTTCAAGATATATTAGTAGCGCTATAAAATAACTTTTTTTCAGCAATTCTTTTTCTTGAATTTAATTGACCGGCCAAAGTTGGTCAGTAATTTCCGACCAACTTTGGTCGGTATGCCGTTCCGACCTTCAAAATACCGACCGCGCGTTAATGGTCGCGTTTTGGACGGTATTGGCCATTCCCGACCAACTTTGGTCGATTTTTTTGGATTGTTTTCCCGAATTTCTAGTAGTGTAATTTCCCAAATAACCAATTGCCCAGGTAAATTCCTAAGAAAATATCCCCAGCTAAATTATTTTCCTTCAGATTAACATATGATTTTTTTCTCATTTTCTTTGTTTGTTTACCTGCAAATTTTCTCACGGAAATGTACTTGCCGATTTATTTCTCTACTAATATATATTAAAGTTACTGAAAAACTTAATAACGCTACTAATATATTTTGAAAATTAACGTTAAGAAAAAAATTAAATATACGAATATATTATAAAAATAATGAATAAAATAATGTTAAATTTAATTTATTTATACATAGTTAAAAAATATTATATAGTATATAATATAGAAGGTATTACATAAATATGAAGGTTTATATAATATCAAGGGTATAATAGACTTTTCAAGTAAAAATGTGACTTTTGTGATAACTAGAATAAAGTAAAATGATTTTTGTGTAACAAAAGAAAGAAAGTGACGTTTGTGTAATGAACACAAAGTTGAATGATTTTTACGTAACAAAAAAAAGAAAAATTACTTTTGAATAATAAATACAAAAGTTCAATTACCATGGATAAATTAACTCTACGACTTAAGCAGTGGATGTGTAATTCATTGAAAACACAAAATGTATTTCTCAATCAGATTGTTTAAATTAAGTCTAGACAAATGTCTATCTAAGTATATGAGTTCGTAAACTACAAAATTTATAATTGTGAATTTATTGAAGTCGATCAAAATTTACTGGAGATGTAAATGAATCCTATATGTTTAATGAGAAGTTAAATATCATGCGACAGTAATCTTTTGTGGCATTAATTGCTGTAAAATATACCTTTGTCTTGTTCAGTTGTATGTAAGGATAAGGAGAGACGGATATTTTTCTCTTGATTCGTCAAATTCATTTTCATGATATTCTTTGTTATTCATGTTCTACATGGGTGGCGTTTTGGGGGTGGTCCTAGCTAATTGCTTTGGTAAAATAAAAAATAAATTAATCTCAACATCTGGAATATTTGTTTAAATATGGTGATACATTCATTTGTTTAATTCATTTGGGTGCTATATATGTATGGGTCAAAATCGAACTAGAAAAATTTGACACGCGGATACGATTGTCATGTACAAATCAATATGGGCAGTTTGACCGAGATCGATCAGTGATCAACAGAACAAGCCACCGAGTGGTTCATCGGGGCCGAGGTCGGGCAACATAGATGGAAACGGTTAGTTTTGCTTTAGAATCTTCAGATGAAATATTCTATTGAATATTCTCTCTATTTGTACTTTTTAGGGGTTTTTTAGGAATATCCCATATAAATAGTATGAGAGATAAGGCAAAAGGCAGGTAATATTCTATATGATAAGAACACTTTTGAAAAGTAAGCTCTCTAGATAGATACAAAGGATAACTTTCCGGAGAGATTCGACCTTTTTTGGATTATTTATTGTCATTTCCACCAAATCCGAGAAAGTGCTCAACATTCTCTTATCTTCTTGTCATTCATCATTGTTAGAGGGAGGAATCATTCGACCTTTCAATATTGGGCGAATCTTCCTCCTTATTTACATTTAGCGCCATTGATTGTCATTTAATACTTGATACTTCATACACATTATTATATTCGACACATTTATTGTTAGCACGTTGATTCCGTTTCTTCACTGCTCATATCTTTTGTACTGTCAACTCGAGATTTGAAGTTATTAGCTTTAACTAGGATTAACCCTTCTTAATAACTGATTAATTAGTTTAACCAAAGATTATTATTTTTTTGTCAAACAATTTGGCGCCATCTGTGGGGATATTCTAGTTAAAATCTTAGTTTCTTTAAGATCTAAAAGAAAATAACACAAAAACTTGTCTTTTCTTGCATGCATAATTGAACATGGTAGGTAATGGAGAGGAAAGAATGAAGGCAGTAGCCAGTTTTACTAACAACCTCATAAACACTATCAACAAAGTCGCTGGAACAGATGCTGAGGACATGACACCAAATTCCTCCCCCCAGGCGGAGTGGTTCACCCCCCCCCCCCTCTTACGGCAGCATCACAGCCTCACATGGTAAAGGGGCCTCTACATCCACAACAAAAGAGACACCACCGGCACCAAAAAGCTGCTCGAGGCATGGTTGACAAACACGCTGACCAGCATTCTTGACAAGCCCGCCCAAAGGAACAATAGAGAAGGTGCGAGAGTTTGCGTCGCACCAGCGACATACGAGCAACACGGCCCTCCTCTTGTAACAGGTATTACTCACAACGTTAGTGATGCAGGTAACGACACCCTCATAGCCATTCCGAGAAAGATGGAGGAGATGGAGAACGAAAACAAAATGCCCCGCGACCAAATGAAAGAGCATCAAGAAAGGGTAGACAAAATACCCGGCGCACCAAACCATACAGTGACGAAGCTGCACCGCATGCCATACCTAAAACTTTCAAAATGCTGCCATACTTGAAAGTATACGACGGCACGACGGACCATGAGGGTCATGTGACCCACTATGTCACCACAGTAAAAGGCAATGACCTCGCCAAAGAACAAGTGTCTTCCATATTACTGAAGAAGTTTGGTGAAACCCTCACCGGGGGAGCACTAACTTGGGACTCACAGCTACCTGCATGTTCCATGGAGACGTTCGAGGAAATGTCTGACAAGTTTGTAACTGCCCATGCCGGGGCTAAGAAAGTAGAGGCGAGGGTGAATGACATATTTGCCATTAAGCAGTCACCCGACGAAGGACTAAGAGATTTCCTCGCCCAATTCAACCGTGTGAGGATGACCTT